TTTTTTTTTTTTTTTTTTTTTTTGTAAACTATTGAGCTAAGTAGCACAGCATTTATTTATTTCAAATTAAAAACTTTACAAGTTTAAGGTATTCAAAATATACCAAAATTTAATTCACTTATGTAACTTTGTTCTGCAGTTGATTAAAATTGATCATTTCATCTCGTAGTTTCGCTGAACAGAAGTTGATACTTTTTGAAAGTGAGGCAAAACTTGGCAAAAAAAAAAAAAAAAAGTTGGCATTAATTTCTGACTTAAATTAGTCAAAACATCTATCTTTAGAGTTAACCAATTTTTCAAACATTTATTGTTGTTAGTCAGTTACAAAAATTTAATTTTTTTTAATTTGGACAACTAATCAAACATGGGAGAACAAAACAAAGAACAAGATTAAGCTAACTGTGTACTGCGTCAAAGCTGGGGTACAACTGTCGCAACTTCATCTTTAGTGTGTTTTAAGAAACCACAGCCTAATATGACATTTAACTAAAACAAATGATTAGCGTCATCGTCTACGGCACCAATCGTTACTGTAATCACTGTAACGCTGATTAACAGTCGTTGTCTGGTAATTTGCAATCGTATAACTAGATAGAAATTGGTTTTTAGAATAAACTTACACAGCCGCGGCTCAAAATATACAAGTCAAAAAATTTGCTAAAATCAATCTCGATGACTGTCTTAATGTTAAGATTATAAAAAATTTAAGTCGAGGCAGGAACAAAAGGTAATAACCAAAACAAAACAAAACAAAACAAAACAAAAAAAAAAACTTGACGATAAAACTAAGACGTAGAATTAAACAGCAGAAGTGGTCAAGCTTCATTACAGGCATGATACAAAACTTTTGAAAAGATGATTTCAAAGCAGTCTTCAACTTTTCAATCAACCCTAAGTAAACGTTAAATTCTAAAAGCCAAAAAAAAATCATGCCGAGAATGACACTTACTACTGATTCGTATTTAAGCAGTCCTATCTGCTTTCCAGAATTCTTCTTAAGCAGTAAGATTACAGTATCATAATATTTAGAACTAATGTGACATTTTGGTAACGCTAAACAATAATAGTTAACATCATCACTTAGAAGAACAGCCATTTAGACAGCTCAATTTAAAGGAATACTCTCCTTTGTAAAACAGTAGTTTATAACTGCTACTTGTTAAGTTTAATTTTTAATTTGTAGTGGTGCTAAGTGCTTTTAAATTTGCAAGCATTGCTCCCTCCGAGAGTAACAGCAAAGTGAATAACTTTTTCTCAACGGTTGATAATGCTGACAGCAGTGATCAATGAGAACTAATATTATAAGCTTCAAAAGCTGCTAATAATAAATTTGTTAGTCGAGAAAAGAAGCGTATTTATACAAAAAACCGTAATTTTGAAGCTGAGCTTGAAAGCGGCCGTTTTTTAGGTTAATAATAAAAAAAAACAAAGCGATAAGTCAGAAAAGCTCGAGAAACACTGATCCAGAGCACTAAGTTTTGCAAGTTTTTCATTATCTGATTTATTGAGATTCAAATATTCAGAACTTCATATTTTTTGTTTCACTTTAGTTAAACAATACTTTCTTAGCCAGCGTTTACTCACTTTTTAATATAATTGTGCTAAGAAGTTTCTTAAGCAATTGACTAATTTGTGGTAGCACTCTATGACTTGTTGAAATTTGGCGGTCTTTCGCTGTTGAATAAAGCAGTGTACTGTAAGATGTGTTTTGCTACGACAGACAAAATATGATTTCATTTTCAGCCATGAACGCTTCGTGGTTCGTTACATTAGCTCTGACATTATTTTTGGCAATTGGAAAACTTCGAGGTAAGTGAAGTTTATGGTTGATATTTCCGTTGGCAACTTCAAAAAAAAAATGGTTTTATTATTTGATTTATTAAAAGATTTATGTTGAACAAATAAGTGAATTTGAAATCTGGTCATTTTTTAGCTGCGTGTCCGCCTGGAAAAACAGGTCCAGACTGCGATATACGTAAGTAGCAGTGATTTTAAAAAGAATTTTATTCAAAACAGATCGTACCAGCGATTTAAAAGACCTATGGACACATTTTTCAGCGATATGCGACACACCAGGGTCAGTAGAGCATCATGACGGAATGGAAGGGTATGGAGACTACATATTCTGGGAAGTTTCCTTCGGATGTAACCAGGAATATCCCGTCAATATTGATGAATACGTCAACGATATCACCGTTTCAGCATATGGAAATGGACAACGATTTAGCTGTGGACTTTATAAAGATGGTATAGCCTTCTAAAACAAGACCAGAATCTTTCATTTAAACATTTTAATACTTTGATGACACTTTACGGCAGTACCAATTTTATTAAAGCCACTATAAAACTGTAATGCAAGCAAGAAAAATCAGTATTTGTAAGTATTATGAAACCAATCTGATTTGTGCAACCATTTTAGAAAAGTTAATTATTCCTTCCGATGTAAGCAGTACAGGGACAGGTTGGGAAAGTGGACATTACGACGGCATTGGTCTTGCTCATGGTTACGGTCAATACACGGTCAAACTAAGTACCGAAAGCACTACGTAATATCTTGTGATAATGTGATTCCTTAGAAAATAAAAATACGTGTGGAAAACAGACAACTTTAAAACACTAACTGCTTTACGTTAAAAAATTACGCTTGAAGGCAGTGCGAAATAAGCGTTAGCGCTGTCACCGCAGTGGTAGTAAACGGAGGCTTTATCACGGATTTAAGTGACAGCAATGTGCAGCAACTTGCACCAAGACCTCATCAGGGAGTTGGGCAATATCCAAAAGTTGTAAGTGCTGTTGCATATAATTTATGTGTTACTTTCAATTGCTTTTTCAATTTTGAAACGTACGTTTTCTTTAAAATCAAACTTGTTTATTTACAGAACGTGTCTACTTACTTTGCATTTGAAGTTAGCGATGCTTTGAGAAGGCCAGGCAGCGCAACTTCGGTAACTACTTATATGGCAGAGGGTTTCGAGCATACAGAGTTGGTTCATAATCGGTACAATT